TGAGCAGGCACCCGACCCGTCACTCCCTCGGCTCCCTCCAGTCGAGCTCGCATGCTCATAGTCAACGTGCGCGTGGAGGTCTTTGTCGTCGACTGTGGCGTTAAAAAGCCGTCGTGTAGATGTAGTGGCGAGTGTGTGTGTGTGTGTGTGTGTGCGATGGGGGGTTGGAACAAGGACACCTTACGTTTAGCGATACCTTCGATTCTTCATTGGGGCCCTCGCACAGTTGCGTTTACATCTGAAGTTATTGCCGCTCGTGTGTCTGACCGACCCGATGGTGTGTGTGTGTGTGTTTAGGACGTGGAGCCCTGACCTACCCCGCGCTCGCACTGCTCCAGTGACGGTATGTGTGACAATTACTATTACTACCTGAACAATTAAGCAGCAGCAGTAAAACCAACAGGGGAACCTTTTCGGGTGCAAATCTACGATTTCCTTCAAACTCGGAAAATGTAAAGGTTATTGTAATAAAAGTCGGATGGCACTTGAAATTTTTCTTAAACCTCACAGTTAGTAGGGGTGTACTTAAGCCTTGCTCTGCTTTCTGTCCCAAATATCCCTCTACCGCCTTAACGGTACAAAATAGAGCAAAACGGACAAAATTTTGGTTAAAAGGGCGCTACTTCAACGAGTTACCTCAACACTGCTTTACATTTAAAAAAACGTTTTTAGAAACCTTGTCCCATATAAGGGAGAAATAATTGTGAGGTTTAGGAAAAATTTCAAGTACCATCCGAATCCTACATAAATAACCTTCCAGTTTCAACGAAATCGGATATTTATTACACCTGAAAAAGTTTTCCTTGTAAGTTATATCACGTTTTTGAGATATCACTGGTGCTCTACCGCGACAAAATTACGTTTGTTGACTGTGACACTGTCGTGACCCTCAGCCCATCCACGAGGCGACCGCCGCGCGGCCCCAGTCCTACTACCCGGGCTTTGCCTACGACCCCGAGTACGCCTACCACGGCAACCTCTCCATGAGCACCGGCTACCTGGACGCCCCGGAGAACCCGATGCGGGAGGCGAGGCGGTAAGGTCACATCTGCACTAGCAACACCGTGTCTTTGTTGATTTTGTTGTTGTTTTTGAATTGCAAATTCTAATTTTTCTTTATTATCATCATTATTTTTATTTTTGTGTGTTTTTATAGATACAGCCTTATTTTACTATTTGTTTTACTCTGCCTGTAACTTGGAACGTTTTCTTCGCAACTTTTGCAGGTTCAGCAAGGACCCGACGCAGCTGTTCCACGTCCGGCGCGGGGAGGCTGTAGGTGAGTCCACGCCCCCCTCCCCCCCTCCCCCCGTAGTCTGCTAAGCCTAAGCCCCCTTTCGGGGCTGCGTGGCAGCGCCGGCGACAGGGGCCCGCGGTAGGCTGAGCGGAGGCTATCTTAGAGAACGACATACAAGTTGGGTTGTCATTATTACACATCAATCGAAAAATCCCCCCAAAAAACATACGTTTTTGTGTGGCAGCTCAATTTTTGTTTGTTTGTTTCCTGTTCAACGCGACAGGCTTTTTCAAATTCATTCTTTCTCACGCGCCTCGTCTGACGACGCGCACTGGTGAAAACAAAGAGATGAAACTAGGGTTGGAAATTTCAGAAAAATTTCGAGAAAATTTCCGAAAAATTCCTGAAAATTTCCCGAAAATAACGGAAAACTTTCCAAAGTCTGCGGGAAATTTTCCATTTTTTCCCGGAAACTTTAAATTTTTTTCCTGAAATTTTCCTGAAATTTTTCAGAAACTTTCCAGGGCTTCCAACCCTAGATGAAACTAGGGGTCGTCCGAATAGCACGTGGCATAGGTTGACCCCTCTTGGGCTCCTTTTAGCGCTGAGCTCACCATTCTCCGAGCTCTTAAATAGGGCTCTCCAAACCCCAGTAGACCCGCGTGTTACCCGCACTGTTATTCAAGTAGGTTGAATACTCATCCAAATTCGGCACTTTGGGTGTGTTTTCATCCCTCAGGTGTGAATACTCATCCAAAAATCTCGCCTTCCCCCCGGGGATGAAAACGGGCGCCCCGGGGGATGCTTCCCATGCTCCCCCGGGCGCTGCATACCCGTCCCCTCGGGGATGAAAATCAGGCGCCCCGGGGGATGCTTCCCATGCTCCCCCGGGCGCTGCATACCCGTCCCCTCGGGGATGAAAACGGGCGCCCCGGGGGATGCTTCCCATGCTCCCCCGGGCGTGGCATTGCCGACCCCCTTGGGCTGCCCTGCCCCCTCCCCGTGGGCTGAGAGCCCAGCGCCCCTCGGCGCGGCCGGCCCCGCCGCTGGGGATGAAAATCAAGCCCCCGGGGCGAGCCGCCCCCTGTCTCCCCATTTCAAATTTGCCGCGTCTCTCCCCGACCACTCCCGGTGCGCTTCGCACAGCCGCCGCCAGAGGGCCTCGTCGTGATGGCATTACCGGCATTACTCTGCCGTCGGCTGCTAGCCGAGCTGTTAGGCTGGTCCAACATCGGAGTCAATCTCATGGATTTTGTGAAACGGTGTAAAGTTTGAAAGAGCACAAAAATTTGTGAATTTATGTGCAAACGCGAACGTCCTGCGATGTCGGTGAGTGCTCGTACCTTGCAGTCAAAGATTTCGGCCCGACCGGCTGCAGAGTAATTTTTCAGTTTTGTTCGATTTTGGACAAGTTGTGGATGGGGCCGGCTGGCACGGGTGACGGGTTCTTGTTTCTGGGCATGTCACCAAGCAGTATGTGCGACAAAAATTTCAAAAATGTGAACCAAATTTTTTTAGGGCCTAAGTGCGCTGTGGCGGACGTCCGTCGATCTATAGGGCGAACAACAACATGTCGCCCGAAGTTCGGCGACACACCGTTGGAAAGAGCACATCCTAGAGAACACTTGTTGTAAATATCGCTCACCTGGCTCCACGCGTCGCCGCCCGAGCGCCGCCCGAGCGCCGCCACGCATTTGAACCCCCGGTAGAGCCGAAATCTTTGACCGCAAGGTGCGAGCACTTCCTGACATCGCAGGACGTTCGCGTTTGCACCAAAATTCATCATTTTTTATGCTTTCAAATTTCACACCGTTCCATAAAATCCGTGAGCTGGACCCCAATTTTGGCCCAGGCTACCCCACGCCTCTCTGCGCGACGAGGACGGCTTTCACGGGGCTCCAGAAGAAAGAGCACCACTTGAGCGCAATTCCTAGAGCAGCAAACTTTTCTAATCTTTTTATGTTTGCTGAGTCAGAAAGAGCTAAGCCCAATCTAGTGCGTACCCCCCCCCCCCTTGTTGTTTCATTTTCATAAGTTTATTTGTTTGACTTTTAAACACGTCTCTAACCAACCTTACTTTCAGGAAGTTCCAGGGAGCATCCCGAACACACTGGAAACTTTAAAATACGAGGAGCATTAGACCAGGTACAAGACTAGTGAATTACAAAGTTTGAAAGCTGTGCGACTTTCAGTTTTGCTCCTAATAACGGTCAGAGGCAGCAAAATTTTGAACTTTGAAGCCTCGCGACGCCTAATCTAAGCGCCGCAGAGCAAAATGGCGCGAGGTCGTGGAG